TCATCTAAACTAGGTTAGGGGTAAATTTCTGAAATATATGACGACTAAAGTTAGACATAGGATTTCTTTGATTAAATCATTTAAAATTTTTGATTGTTCTTCTCCTCCTGCTCTTCGTAAAACACTCTTTTTGTATTTTATTTTACCTATTTTCACGTGGATTTATCCAATTTATCCCGTTCTTTCAGTTAGACAACAGTGTAATTTATCCCACTTTTATTATTCTTCTTTAAGACGTGTTTTGTACTGTCTGAGCTGGAATGAAAAGTTTTTTGTTTTTGCTCTTGCAGACTCTACTGATGAAATTTTATTATTTGAAAAAGCCAACCTAAACGTATTTAATCAATGTTGGATTGAAGGGCATTTTTCAGCAAAATGTTCGAGGAGATCCAAAAGATTTGTATCTAATCAATCAGCGATTGAAATAGTTGTTAGTTGGCCAAGTTCTATTTCCTCTCGTTCTTCTGTACTTAATTATGAGATTGATAAAAATCAACTATTCTAGAATTTTTCAGGATCTTTTCTTCTCATCGTTAAACTTGTCTCTTATACTAATATATGCATTTTTCTTTATCTTCACTTTAGTCACTTTATTCTTTGTTATTCTTTTTTGTATACTCTTGTTACTTCTTTTTTTTCATAGGTACTGTTAGGATATTAGGATCACAGTTTTCGCATATTAAAAAGCAATACGAATATATCAATTTTATTTCATTATTATCATTTTTTCTTTTAGGAATTAAATCTCAGAAACCAAAACAAAAGCTTTCATTTACGGACAAAATATGTCCCAGATATCAGAACTTTTTCGTTCCATTTTTGGGAATGATTCATTCGAAGATAACCAGGGGAGGTGTGCGTGTGTCAGAGAGTGGGTGGGTGTGGGTACTGTATTGACTTAGCACTCACACCGCCACCCACACCCATACCATAAATTTAGTTTAAAATTAAATACACCATTGTATGATATAGAAAATGCCATATCATATAGAAAATACCATATCATATAGAAAATGCCTCATCATAATCTAATGCCACGTCATAAGAAAATGCCTCATCATAAGAAAATGTCACTCTCTACGTGTAGAGTCATCACTCCGTATGCAGATCAAAGTGCATACATGAGAACAAATATCAACGTAAAAATATTGATAGAAAGAAAAGAACAGGCCACCGCTCGGATTGGCACAATATAGAGAAGCAAAACAGAAAAAACTACATTTGATACTATAAGTAAGATAATCTCTGCATGATCGTGCATTTCAACAAAAAGAAAAAAAAAATAAATGCAATTTTCATATCTATGACACTATATTGTTAGAGCAAAAAAGAAAAGTGACGAAGAGAAAAAACAGGCATGTAGAATCTTATCTAATATATTCGTATATAGAGAATAACATCAGTGACAACGATTCTGAATTGTAGAGTTTTATCTCTGGAAGTCAATTTTGTTATATTTATTATCCATTACTGGATACTTGAATAAAATAACCTAATTACAATTCAGATTACAAAAGAAAACTCTCAGATCGTAAACGACTCAAATACGATGAAAAACGGCCGCTTGCGGTCGGGCTTGTTTCACCTGGGTATATCATGTTACATAAGGTTCTACATGCCTATTATTTTCTCGTCATTCTTTTTCTTTCTTTTTGTTAAAATGCACGATCATGCAGACATTATTTTACTTATAGTATCAGATTAGTTTTTTTTCTGTTCTGCTTCTTTCTGGTAGTCGTATATTATTTTCTCTCAGAATTTTTCGTAAGCATTTGTTTCATCCATTGGTTTTGTATATATTTATGGTGTGATAAAGTCATTTACTCAGAGTATATCAGAACACTCATTGCCTGATATACAATTGAGAGGGATCCACGACAAATAAAATTTATTCCGCTTTGCTTTTCTATATATGTTAAAAACACCTTTAGCTCCCTTTAGAGTGTAGGTGGGATGTGGGTGTAGGTATCTCTTCATTCCCCTCATTCGCACCCACACCCATACATTCATTCATCTATATCAAGATAAAGTACTATCGAATATTTGTTTTAGAGATATAATATCGGTATTTAATTTCGACCAATACTTAAAACGTACATGGCATTATCATCAAAAAAACAATTGACAATTTTGTTCCTACCTTTGGATACATTGGGTCATATTCATGCTTCTATTGGGATAGCTGAACCATTGAAACAACGTGGACATCGAATTGTTTTTGGAATAGCAACAGGCTGGAAAGGTAAAATATCACCTTATGGTTTTGAAGAAATTTTGTATGGTGAAGACACACAACCAGCTGAACTATATGTAAATTTTATTAAAGCTTGTTCAGCTGAATTACGAAAAAGTTCCTACGATCAATTGGCCGTTTTTGAACATTGTGTTCAACGTAATTTGATAAATAGTGTTAAATATAATGATCCATTTTTTCGTGATTTAATCAAACAAATTAAACCCGATATAATTATTGTTGATCATTATTTTTGTCAACCAGCAATAGTAACGGCAGGAGTTCCATGGGTTTGGTTAATGTCAAGTAATCCATTAGGTCTTAATGAAGAAAATTGTCCACCACGTGGTTCAGGTTATTCAGCTGATAGTGATCGACAGCAATGGGATGAATTTCGACAAGAATTTAAGAGAATTTCTGATCCAAACTGGGAAGAACTTAATCAATGGCTAATTGAACGAGGTGCACCACCATTGACTAAACAAATGTGGCCATTGTTTCAAAATGCATCTTCTTATCTAAATCTTTACTTGTGTCCAGAAGAAATTGATTACACAGACTTACGACCATATCCACCTAAATGGGTTCGATGTGATGCATTAGTACAAACATCCGACATATGTGACTTCCAAATACCAGAAAAATTGGCTAATAAACCAGGAAAGCTAGTCTATATGTCAATGGGTTCATTTGGATCGGCAGATTTATCATTAATGACACGATTAGTTAACATTTTAGCAAAGTCACCTAATCGATTTATTATTTCAAAAGGTCCTTTGGGTGATGAATATTCTTTACCTGATAATATATGGGGTGAAAAATTAGTTCCACAAGTAAAAATTTTACCATTAGTAGATTTAGTAATAACACATGGTGGTAATAATACAATTACTGAAATTTTTTATTTTGGTAAACCGTTAATTATTTTACCGCTATTTGGTGATCAATTTGATAATGCACAACGAATAGAAGAAAAAGGCTTCGGAATTCGATTAGGTACTTATTCTTGTTTTGAAGAAGAATTATTGGATGCAATCGAAAAATTGTTAGTTGATAAACAATTAGAAGAAAAATTGAAAATAATATCGCAAAAGATAAAAGAAAGTGATAATCGAGCAAAAGTCGTAGAATTAATTGAAACTCTTGCATAATCACTATCTATTGACTATGAAGTGAATAAATTTTATTTTATTAAAATTGTTCTTTTTCTGTTTTTTTCTGTTATCGTATATTTAAAGCGGGTATTTTTTCAACATAATGTAACTTTTATTCTTCATTATCAATAAAAATTCGAATTTGACCAGGAAAAAACATATATCACTTCGATGTACAATTTTTTTGCATACAAATGTCATAACAGAACATTTCACAAGTCTTCGAAGGTGCAACAATCGACAGGCATAATCGTAATAATGATCGCTTTCATACTTGTTCAGAGTCATATACTGGATGTCCCAAAATTTTTACGACATTTTTCCACAAAACTTTGAGAAAAACTACATTAACTGATTCGAATAGTTTTCCCCATATTCAAAATGAACAACGTACACGGCACACTGTAAATGTTTTTAAATTCTACTTTTTCGAAAATCGATCTTAAATAAGGTGAAGTATTTTACAAGTCTTATGACTTATTCGCTGAAGTTCTATAAATTCAAAAATGCTTGATTTTCGAGAAGATATATTTTCTAAAAAGTGGAAAATAAACAGTGATGGTGAATAAAATTTGTAAATCTACTTCGATTTATAAAAATTATCATAATTTGTTTTTCATCTTATAAAAGGAAACAAAATTTGGCTTTCTAATTTTAAGAATATTCTTGATAAAACTTTATAACTTATTTTCTAGTTTATAGTGTAGGAGTTCAGATGCAAAACCATGAAAACCTCTCTTTTCACCTCACTGTAACTGGCTAATCTTTCTTATTCCTTATCTCTATCACTGAAGAGAAAAAGTGTTTCTATTAAATGCATATGATAATAAAATTGTTCTCGGCATTTGAAAAATCTCTAAATTTGATCTGTTATACTTGTAAAATCGATTATATCGTGAACATTTGTATATTAACTAACACTAAAGTCAAATGAGTAAGCAGTAATGATGCTATTTTATAGTCGCGATGAGTAAAGTCTCTTTATTCAATTGTTTAGGATGACAGCGAAACTATCATTGAAAGTTGAATCGATTATCACCATTCTCTTGGTGTAGTGTATGCGAAGAACGCCATGTGTGCAAATGATAAGAAATAACAGAAATGGATATTAAAATAAGTGATGAAGCAAATTTATTGTTTGCAAATAACACTCTCAAGGACGACAATCCTGATAAAGTGATACCTGTAACTCTAAAGAAAACCAAAGCACAAAACAAGTTTATTCTGATGACAACGGATCATTTTTTGCAATATTAACTGATATGAGTAGGTATACGCCATAGGTTTAAACTTTTAAGAATCTAACTTAAGTGAAGATTCACATTCGCAAATAATTCATTCCGAAAAAAATATATATCCTAGGTGAACAAAGGCGATCATCGCGGTTAGATTGGGCTGAATCATCATGGACAAGATGGATACAAATACCACTACATTCGTGGATCACACCTATTCTCTCCTTGAGTAACAAACGCACACTTGTGGAGAACGATTTTGACGATATTTCTATTAAAGATAAGTGTTCAGTCTTGTTGAATAGAGTGAATCAGTATGATTCTAAATGGCCAGGTACATGGAATGTTTTGAAGCAAATATTTTATAAAGATTTTCTAATGAGTATATTACTTGTTCTTCCACTTATAATGGCTCAAATAGCACAACCATTGCTTATTCGTCAAATTGTTCTGTGCATTGAAGATCAATCAGGATTACCATCGTACGCTGGTTACCTATGTGGTCTTGCTCTTTTCACTTCTTGCATAGTGCAAGCCATTGTTTCTGAACAAATCTTTTTTCGAAATGGTCGTACTGGTATGCGAATTCGTAATAGCTTATCATCTGCCATCTATAAACATTTGTTGACAACTAATACTGCAACTCTTCACAAGACTACTGCTGCTCAGATGATCAATTTAGTTGCCAATGATGCCAGTAAATTTGAAGAACTTAGTATGTTCATTCATACTCCACTACTGGCAACTATGGAAGCGCTTGCGGCTTTTGGTCTGATTTTTTGGCACATTGGTTTACCAACAATATTCGGCTATGCAGTACTGGTTTTATTAATACCTATACAATTCATTTTCAGTCGACAGTTCAGTCGATACCAAAATATTACAATGAAATGTACAGGCAAACGTGTGCAAACGATCAATGAACTTGTCAATGGCTGCCAAATTATTAAAATGTATAATTGGGAAAAAGCGATGGAACAACGAGTACATGAAACACGTCTACGTGAACTTTCGAACATTTACAAAGTTAGCTGCTTAAGAGCTCTCAATGTCGCTTTTGCTTTTACATCATTACCTTTGATTTCTCTTGCTACATTCGGTGGTAGTTGGTTACTGGGTCAAACTTTGCTGCCAGAAAATATATTCACAACAGTAGGCTTTTTCGTCATGGTCCGAGTTCCAGTAACAATTTGGTTACCCAGTGCGATTGAAAAATTCAGTGAGGCTCGTGTTTCTGCAAGACGAATCGATCAGTTTATGCAACTCGATACGTTGTCCAATAAACGTGAAAAAATGGAAAATGAAAACGAACATCATGCAATCATAATGGAAGATGCATGCTTTTCTTGGAAAAATACTCCTTCTTTGTTTTCTCTCAATCTCAAAATTAGAAATGGGAATTTAGTTGGTATAAAAGGTTCAATTGGTGCTGGCAAATCAACCTTACTTGCTGCTATTCTAAATGAGATTAATCTTGTAAGTGGCAAATTACAACTGCATGTTAAATCAATTTCATATGCTCCACAATCAGCATGGATATTTGCTGCCACTATTCGAGCTAATATTCTTCTTGGTAAACCAATGATTGACGAACGTTATAAGAGTGTAATAAAAGCATGTTGTCTTGATATCGATCTAGAGAATTTTGGTGAAGTTGGTGATTTATTGATAATTGGTGATAAAGGTGTCAGTTTGAGTGGTGGACAAAGAGCTCGTATGTCTCTTGCTCGTGCTTTGTATGCCGATGCTGACTTATATTTACTCGATGATCCACTTGCTGCTGTGGATCCAAAGGTGGCAAAGCATATCTTTGATCAATGTATTGGTCCTCGTAGTTTCCTTCGTGGAAAAACTCGAATATTGGTTACACATCAAACACATTTTTTAGTTGAAACAGACCAAATATATCTCATGACAAATGGTCAAATTGAAGAATTGCAGATAGAACAAATACCTACAATGGAACTGTCGAATGATACATCAGCAACAGAATCATCTAACAACAAGGAAACAGACTGGGTACCTAATTCTGCTATAGCTGATATGAATTCAATTATCAAGAATGAGACATCAGTTGAAGGTGCCATCAAGTGGAGTGTTTGGCTAAAATTATTTACTGCACCACCTTTACGATGGTTTGGTTTATTTCTGATGATTATTTTTATGCTCATTAACGAAGCTGTGTACGACTTTTCAAATGTTTGGCTTGCTATGTGGTCAGATAAAGATTATAGCGAACAACGATTATCATTTTATGCTTATATCTATCTGGGAGCTGTTAGTTCTATATTGATCGTAGCGATCATACGTGTTGGTTTTGGCTTTTATATTATGCTGCGTGGTTCGACCTATTTACATAATCGAATGCTCACAGGTATGTTGTATACTTCATTACGTTTCTTTGAAAGTAATCCAAGTGGACGAATCTTGAATCGAGCGAGCAAAGATCAACAAGTATTAGATCAATCATTACCAGTAGCTTTAATTGATACTATGCAATATCTTCTGATGATTATTGGTTCTATTACAGTCATTGGAATGACTAACCTATGGGTACTTCTAATTCTCATTCCTTTGATTCCTTCAGTTTTATGGCTTCGTCGATTTTACATGCGTTCAAGTCGTCAACTCAAACGACTCGAAAGTGTAACACGTAGTCCTATTTATACGCTCTTCTCATCATCATTTGATGGGCTCACTAGTATTCGTGCATTTAACGTTCAAGACGATTTTTTAAATATGTTTATGGACAGAATTGATACCAACTCACGAGCTTACATTATTCTCTCTACGTCTGCATATTGGTTTGGTCTACGACTCGATGTTATGGTATCCTTTCTCACGTTGATTACCGCTCTACTTGCAGTATTTTTTCGTCATCAAATTTTACCGTCAGCAGCAGCACTTAGTTTCATATATTGCATCAGTTTAACAGGTCTCTTTCCATGGGCTATGCGACAATCAGCCGAAGCTGAAAATTCCATGACTAGTGCAGAACGTATTCATGAATATAGTCAACTAGTACTAGAAAGTCGACAGAATAGTAACGAGAATCATGTTCTTATTCAACCAGCAGAGGATTGGCCTTCTCGTGGTATTATCGAATTTAAAGACTATACTTTTCGCTATCGCCCAGAACTTGATTCGGTACTTAAAAATATTAATCTACGAATTGAATCTAAGGAAAAGATTGGCGTTATTGGTCGAACAGGTATGATGATTTCATTTTTAAGACTGTTTGAAATGTTATTATTTGACTGGCACGTATAGATTTCCGGCTTTCTCTTTAGGTGCTGGCAAATCATCTCTTCTTCAAGCTCTCTTTCGACTTGTTGATCAATCAGCAATCAATGGAACTATACTCATTGATAATATCGATATTGGACGTCTTTCACTTCATCATCTTCGTTCTCATCTAAGTGTTATTCCACAAGTACCCATACTTTTCTGTGGTACACTTCGGTATAATATCGATCCATTCGAACAATTTTCAGATGAAGAATGTCTTACAGCACTTGACGCTGTTCAACTCAGACAATTAGTGCGCAATCATCCCGATGGAATTCATCTATTAGTAGCTGAATCGGGTGTTAATTTAAGTGCTGGTGAACGTCAACTGATTTGTGTAGCTCGAGCCATTTTGAAGAAGAGTCGTATATTGCTGATTGATGAGGCTACAGCAAATGTTGATCATGCAACCGACAGGATGATTCAAGAGGTGATCGCTGACAAGTTTCGCGATCGTACCATTCTAACGATTGCTCATCGATTGAATACAGTCGCTAATAGTGATCGAATTATTATGTTACAACAAGGAGAAGTTGTCTATTTCGATGTGCCTAGTAATATTCATCTAACTTAATAAAATCATACATGATTTCATACTCACTATTTTCATCTGTATATTTAAAATATGAGGACTACCTCAATTTGAGCGTGTGTGTGTGTGTGTGTGTGTTGGGGTGTGAGGTAAGATGAGCAAGAGAATCTTAATACAGATGCTTCTATATACGAAGAAGGGTTTCGAGAAGGATATCAAATCAATTTTAATCAACTAAAATTTTTACTCGAGAGTCCTCACCGAATAAATGCCTCTGCGTGATACAAAAACTCGTTGATATTATCGGTAAGATGGCGTTTCTTACTGAATAAAATGATGCTAAAGGCTCATGACATCGTTGTATATTGCTCATACTGCTATTGTGTACTCAAAAAGTGAGTACACTACTAGAATCGGTCAGTGTGGCCGGCCGTCCGGCCGTATGCACGATAACGTTTGAAAGAATAGTCCGATTGAGCTGAAATTTTGTACACAATTCAGTCTCATGTAGATATCGGTCGAGTTCGAAGATGAGCAGAATTGGCCGGGCCATTCTCGAGTTATTGAAAAAATACTGATATTTCCCTATGATTTTTCTATATTTTTTTGGGGGGAAAAATAATATAATGCTATTCTCGGAAGCAATTTTTCTACCAGAGTCAAATAAAATTCCACTTATTATAAAGCATTCAATAGAGAATTTCACAAGCTACAAGATAGTACTAAATTATAGGGGTAAACGGGTTGTACACAAGATTGTCCCTGTATAATAGGGTGGGTAAACTACAGAAAACTCATATACGTTGATAATGTATCAGAGCGATATTTGTTTGTTTTTCATATTATTAATAACACTTTTCCTAGAGTAGATAGAACTCATCAAGAGCTTGAAAATTATGTAAAATAATAGGTGGTAGATATGCTGCGTTTGATATGTCTTTAGTGCAAGGGGGAATTTGCAAACTTTAAAGCATAAAGTACCATAAAGTACTGTAAAGTATCAAAATAGTCTAAACTAGATAGAAGTAGCAGGAAGTAGCGCAAAATAGCTCGAAATAGCTCGAAGCATGTAAATAATTCAAAGTAGCTCAAATTACAAAAGTAGCCCAAAGTAAAAAAGTGGTCCGAAATAGATCGAAGTGGTTCAAAGTATGTAGAATTAATTTGAAGTACAAAGTAGTGCAAGGTACAAAAATAGCTCAAAATATGTAATAGCAGCACATGGTGTTTTAAAGTAACTCGAAGTAGTCAAAAGTAGCCTAAAGTACCTGTTAGACTGTAGCTAACTACTCCTGGTTCTACTTTATTATCACTAAAAGATAGGAAGAACACACTTGATCTGCATGACCAATCAAGAGAGACTAAGAGTGAGAGAAAACACAAGAGAGGTAGTGATGGAAGATGCCACTACCTAACACCTCCGCCCTTTACCAGTGAACAGGTATATCTGTTCACCAAAAGATACCCATGTCGCTCTTTTTTCCATAAAACCGTCGGTAACCGTTGGTTGTGCTAAGAACCAGCGGTGACCGGTGGTTGAAGCTAGAACCGACTGTTAACCGCGGTTACCGATCGGTTTCGACTAGCGGATTTTAACGATGAAACGATAAACAAAAACAAACAAACTATATGTAGTGATATAAAAAAAATTAGAAATAATCATCAATATGATTAGAATTCTCTTGTTCTACTTGTTTTATCAAGATTTAGAGAA